CCTTCTGATTCGTCGACCACGCCTCCTTAGTCGGTGCCAAGGTCCGACTCATAAATGCAATGGGGTGGCGGTCCTGAGAAAGAACTGTGTCGATCCCTCTACGTGACGCGTCGGTTTCGATTACGAAAGGCTTGTAAAAGTCTGGCATGGCTAAAGTCGGTGTAGTTTTCTTGGCCTCCTTCAGCCGCCGAAATGCCTCATCCGCGGCCGGGGTCCAACCAAACCCTCCCTTCTTCAAAAAATGTGTCAATGGTCGGGCAATCATATTGTACCCCTGGAAAAACTTCCTGTAGTACCCTGTCAGACCCAGGAACCCTCTCAACTCTGTCACTATAGTAGGGACATGCCAATCCACCATGGCTTGGATTTTGGACTGGTCCACCCGCACTCCCTGAGGTGTTACCACGTGCTCCAGATACTCCACCTCCATCACTCCAAAAGCGCATTTGGAAGCCTTGACATAATACTGGTGCTTTCGTAGTATCTCGAACACTGCCTTCAAATGCCTCAAACGGTCCTCCCAAGTCGGACTGTAAATCAAAATGTCATCAAAGAAAACCAGGACGTACCATCCCAGAACCTACCGGAATATGTCATTCATGGCTGTCTTGAAGGTAGACGGGGCATTGCATAGCCCAAATAGCATTACTAGATACTTGTAATGGCCATTGTGGGCGCGAAATGTTGTCTTGTGGGCATCTTCCTCCTACATCCTGATCTGGTGATAACCGGCCCGCAAAAGCTTTTTGAAGTAGCTCGTCCAGCATGTCGTCCATCGTCGGTATCGGGAACCAATCTTTAACCGCAGCTTCATTAAGAGCCTGTTAGTCAGTGCAGAACCGCCAGGTTCCATCCTTCTTCTTCACCAGCAAACCCGGGGAAGAAAATGGACTAGTACTAGGCCTGATCAATCCCGTGGCAAGCATCTTTGCCACTTGTTTCTCGATTTCTTCTTTCTGCGAATGCCCGTACCTATAAGGTCTCACATTCACTGCCTCCGCCCCTTCATTCAGTCGGATCTGATGATCCACCTGGCGGTGTGGCGACAATGCATTAGAAGTTCGGAACAACTTTCGCAAGTGCTCGAGCAGCTCGTGACCGGTCCTAGACTCTGCAGCCATGACATTCCCAAGATGATGTCGAACCCTCTGAGGGGCAGCACATACAAATTGGTGGTGAACTCGTAGCCTTGAATGTCTAGGGAGATGGCTTGATAAACTCGATCACACTTCACAGGTGCGTCGTTGGCCACCTTGACCACGATCGGCGCTGTTGATAGGGCAAAAGCGTAATGCCTCAATCCTATCTCGTAGTAAACCAGAAAGTCCGGGTATCGTCTCTCAGGGACTGGTACAACCTTTTATTCTATCAATTTATATAGCAAACTATAGGTGAAAATGGTTTAACGAGACTAATTATCTCAAAGCAAAGTAAACTTGTCGAGGGAAATTCAATGGGAGAAGCTCTGGGAGAAACACCGAGACTCACTACCTATCCTATCCAGATTAATTCACATATTCCAATCAATTTAATCCAACTCTCTACAGCCAGGATATCACGAATGTGCTAGCTATCCCTGTCGGGAATTACTACGTACTAAACAACTAAATCAAATCATAATGTCGTAGCTCAATGACTTAATTATTTAGCCTGAAGATCGATATCCTATTTAAGACCGCATAGCACCTTATTTAATCCACTGTCGCTTCGATAAGTTACTATGTCACATGAAATATGCTCGGTCATTAGGGTTTCACTGTCGCTAATAACCTAATTAACTACAAATCGTTGTATTGGTGGCCAGTCAACACAAAGCATTAAGTAATTTCATGCAATAGAGATTGGAAGAAAAGAATTATGAATCAATCCATCAAATATAGAACTAGCTACATCCTATGGTGTTTCCCCCAGAAATCGTGGTTTAGTTCATGATGAAACTGAGATAAATCGATAAAGTTTTGATCATCATGTTCCAAATCAACAATAAACAACTAATTTGGTTCAGAAAATCCAACCAAATAATCACTCTTGTTGAACTCAACTCAAGCCTTAGAGAAGTTGATCGTCAATTCGCCTCTGCTCTCTCTTTCTTTTTCGCAAAAAGAGATTTTCTTCTCCCAGAATTGGCTGCTGCTCTCTTCCAAAAATTGATTCCGCCAAAAAAGAAAGTCCTCCCTTAGTAAAAGTCTCCCTTTTTCCATATCATTCCACCCCCCAGCTCCAATTATTCCATGTCCCCGTCCAAAAATTAGTTCCCACTCCTGGGCCCTGGCCACTTCCTCCTTTCAAGACCTCCCATTAGTTGCCTCTGTCAATTGGGCTTTGGCCCAATTACTTGTTGTGGAAGAAATGTGGATCCAATTCCTCACGCCATCTCCTGCTTCGGAAGTTCCAGTGTTGTCATTTTATCTATCTTTTCACCTAAACACACACCAAAACTCCAACACAAAATGGTAATGGCTTTTCAACCATTACGGATTAATTCTCCCTAAAATAGCACCAATCGGCTTAAACATATCATGAGATAGTCACATAAAGCTCAAGAATCCGATATATTAAAGTCGATTATCAGCTGTCGAACTAGGCTCCTTCTGCAACGTCCTCCCGAAATCACTCCTATGAAATTCAGCGATGCTCTACTATCAACCAGGGTAAGAGCTTGCTGCTCCTCTACCCTCGCTCGGAAACGAAGCATTCCCCCGACGACGGCCCCGCCATACAGTGTAGTGAGACGGTCGGCGACAGCTCCTCGACCGCTCCACGCTTCCCCGCCTCCGTGTCACCTTCTTCCGCCGCGTCAAGCGACGTGGTTCGCTGCTCACCCTGTTCGTCAGGGCTCGCGGTTACTGGCTGTCCGCAGCTCGGGTCGTCTCCCTCGGCCGCCATCTCTATTTGCGCGCGCGTCAGCGTGTCCGGGCTCTATTGCTTGATGATCTACTGAAGTTGTTCTTGTAGTTGCGCCCAGGTCGGTGCCGATGACTCAGTCGTGCTCATTCTTTCTTGATCGCTGGAAGACGTCCACGGTGGAGAGGTATGACGAACTCAATCTCACGAATGGGGCTCTGATACCAAATGTTAAAAACAAATAAGTTCCACAAGGAAATTAGGGATTGGGAAGAGAAGAAATTAGGAATTTGGGAGAGATTGGGGAAGAACAAGAGAGAAGAATTTAGTGATTGGGATTAATTGATTGATTATTAACTAATCTGAAAAGTATGGTTCTCCACCCTTAAATAACAATACAAAATAATACCGAAATAACTTAAATGTCACTCCTGCCCCAGCCTACTCGGCCAACCCACCCGAGGACTAAACCGGGTTTCTAACAGCCTCATGGTTGGACATGTCTTAACACCGACGGGTTTGTTATTCTTTTGACGGGGAGTATTGCGGCAGGCGGCATTATTCGTAATGAGGATGGCCAGCTGGTTCGAGCATTCACAGTCAATATGGGAGGAGGATCCATCACTCAGGCCGAGTTGACATGAATTGTTCACGGATTGCAATTAGCTTGGAATGAGGGAGTTAGGAAGTTGGTGGTATAAACTGACTCTATTACAGCAATCCAACTACTTCAGACAGCCACGAAGCGGCACCTACATTATGTCCTTGTGACGTCAACTCATAAACTTTTGGAACTTGATTGGCAGGTCACTATAGTTTCATGTGTTTCGAGAGGGGAATATTTTTGCTGACTACCTTGCTTCTTTAGGCCATAGAATGTCTGTGGGTGAGCATTTGATTGATCTTCATCCGTCTTTGAATTACTAGTTGTATTATAATATTATTGGGGTTCAAACCCCTCCTCTTATTCTTAATTAAGGTGTGGAGCGGCCATTAGCACTCCTTTTTACACACAAAAAAAATTAGTTCATCACGATCGAACAACAACTTCTATACGTTTTTATGTGTTACGCTTTGGTTTATTAGCTTTAAATTTTAATTCGTTATATAATATTTTCCTTTTATGGTGTAAGATAATTGCATTTTTTGTGTTGGGTATTTTTACTTAAATGTTTAGTTCATCTTATCTGGCCCTATCATAAACAAATTGTTAGGATTCTAATTTTTTAGTGGGTTTGAATTAAGTGTTTTCAAAACAAAGTACACTAATCAAATTATTAAAATGACTGTACCCATACATTGAGATCTCAAAGGTGTAAATGTAAGGACAATATTTAGGGAAGTTTTAATGTAGCAAATGATATGCTGGCAACTGATGAGTAAGGCAACTAATTAGTAATTACACTGGTTTCAACGCGTAGGTGCTTGTATTTTCAATTGTTTACTAGATAGGTGTGGCCGCACTCTATAGCGGCCTAAGGTTGTTTATTACTTTTATTTTATTTGTTGGTTATTTGTGTTCTTTTGATATAATGAGTAGAATCTAAAATTATTAAGGTGGCCTTCTATGACGTATTTACAAAAATGAATGTGTCGGGTCGGATTGTCCCTAATTTATGTCATTACTAATTTCTGTTAAATGAACAAAATGAAAAAGGATTAATAAAAATTAGCAATGACAACAGATCAGGTCGAGAATTCGATAAAATTTTTTTTTAAAATAATGCCCATATCCGATGTTTTGGGTATCCACGGTTATATATGGCTAATAATTTCTCTTTATAACTCTAACCAACATGTTAACATTCACGCGAATACTGTCATTACATAAGTGAAAAGGTACAACAATACATTAATAAAATGAAAAAAATAGTTAAAACAACACAATTTCGTGAAAACATTAGTTGTATAATAAATATCAAATTTGTTGAGAAAAATCATGAGCATTTCTAGACAAAATGTATATGCCTGTGTATAATCGGGCGGATTTGAGTGAGATAGTGAGAAAATCATGTACATCAATTACCCGCAATATTCATATACGACTTTTACCCATAATAATGAAAAGTCTTTCAGGTTCGAGTTTTACCCTACCCAATTAGATCTGATTCGGACAGATATCTACAATTTGAGATAATTTTGTCAACCCTAATAAAAATAATATTAAATCATTATTATCATAATTCCACAATTCTCAAATTGAAAAACATTAGCCAAATTTCTCATGCCAAAAAATTACAATTATAGATTATGTGGTGCAAAGTACTGAAAATGGAAAACATTGGGATTGAAAGTAGAGAATCAATGGAACTGACGCATCAAAAGGTTTAGGCAACTGTATAAACAACAAAAAGAAAATTAGGCAACAGTAACATTACTTTGGCTTTATATCATATATATAATATCTCTCCCGGATAGGATGAAAAATTTAATGGTCTATGCATTCGTTAATCATGCTGGACTTAATCTTAAACGAATGATACGTACGGGATTCATATCAGGTAAGTATCAAGCAAGCCCTATCAATCATAAGAAACTAAATTTATCTACTTTGAATTCATGGTACTTACGAAGATAAAATGTAAAAGTTAAGTGGTTACATTGAATTTCAGCAAAACTTAAATCTGAAAAATAAAAATGACCATAAGCCATCAATTATCCATGGCTTAAATGCCAATGCGGCAAAGCAGCCACAGCTCCCTCCTGACTTAGGATTGTAAGTGTCATATATCCATTCAGAGGTTAATCTTAAGCAGTTTGTATCTGGGAAAAGAAGAATTTCGATGTTCGTCGTTGGCTTTTGTATCACTCTATTGGTGGCTCCATGCCTTACTCGATTATTAGTTAAGAGTTAGTGGTGCATAGCATCATTCAAGAAAAAAAACTAAAAAGATGAATTTCTGCAAGAAAGCCTCTCTCCTAAATATGTTACAAGCATGGCAGCCACTGTTGCAGCAATCAACCTTCAGGCAGTAGTATGTAAACAAAACTGATGAGTGAAAATGGAACTGAATTTACCATTTCAATTTAATCAACCGCTACTCAAGTCTTCAACATTGTATAAAGAATCAATATCGCACAAATCTTTCATCAACGCCATCAAATCTCTCAGCGCAGAGCCAATATCACCAGCACGAGAATGAGAGATCTCTCCGGCAACGAAGAAGCTCGTCGTCTGTCCCACCGTTATCCAGCTACACCCGGGCAACTTCTTCACTCCTTTCTCCTTCATTGACCTTCGGAGACTCCTAACCTCGTCCCAGTTCCCAGACGCCGCATGAATGTTGGAAAGAAGAACATAAGGGGATGAATTCTGTGGTTCGAGCTCGATGAGTTTCTTAGCAGCACGTTGGCCCCTGCCTTCGTCACCATGGGTCCTGCAAGCTCCAAGCATTGTAGCCCAAATCTTCGCATCAGATTCCAAGTTAAACGTGCTGATGAACTCTTCAGCTTCTTCGAGAAACCCCCATCTCCCTAAAAGATCAACCATGCATGCACAATGGTCGATTCTCGGTTGAATCTCGTACTGGTTGACCATCAGGTTGAAGATCTGACGACCTTCCGACACCATTCCTGCATGGCTACATGCAGTGAGGACTCCTAGAAAAGTGACATCGTCAGGCACTACAACATTGTTCAAGTTCTTCGTCATGTCCCAGAAAACACGTAAAGCATCTTCTGCATATCCATTTTTGGCCAATCCAACTATCATGGAGTTCCACGAGATCACATTTCCTTTACTACCACCCATTTCTTCAAATACCTGCATTGAGCTCTCCACATCCCCACATTTGGCATACATGTCGACAAGAGCACTACACGTCATCTCATCTGAGTCAAACCCAGTTTGGAAGATGAGTGCATGGATCACTGCACCATCTCTCACGGATGATAGAAGAGCACAAGCTTTCAGGACACAGACAAATACTGCTTGGTCTGGTAAGAAATTGGAAGCGTGCATTTTTTGGTAAAATTGGAGAGCCTCTTCACTGGAATCATTTTGAGTAAGCCCTGAAATCAATGCAGTCCAAAAGATAGTACTTCTAAGGCCAGAGAGTTCCGAGAAGAGAAGGATGCCTTCTCTTTTCCTTTGACCACTCATGTACATGGTTAGCAGAGAGACGGCCAAAAACTCGTCATCCAGTGGAATCCCAGTCTTCACAACCAGGCAGTGGATTTGACTACCTATATCTAACTTTTCTGGCCCCTTGCAAGCATCTAGAATGGTTGCGAAAGTAACTTCAGAGAGTTTTAGTCCCTCAGCTTGAATTTTCCGAAGCAGGAGAATCGCTTGCTCTAAATTAGATGGAGCATATCCTGCAATCAGAGCATTAAGAGAGACCACACTCCATTTAGGCATGGAAGCAAGAATCTTGTGAGCAGAGTCTAGGTTCCCACACTTGACATACATGTCGATAAGGGAGCTTCCAGCATATAAACCTGTTTCTAGACCGGTTTTCATTGAGAGACAGTGCACCTGTTTGCCTTGGTCAAGGCCTCTGACTTTCGCACAAGCACTCAGAATGCTTGCGAGGGAGAACTCGTCGGGGATAATGTAATCGAGGGCATTCATTCTACGGAACAAATTGAATGCCTCGACCTCATTCTCTTCCTGCACATAGCCAACAATTATTGCATTCCAAGAGACATTGTCTTTGTTCTTGACTAGCTCAAATTGTTGCCTCGCATCGTGAAGGTTCCCAGATTTAGCATACATATCTACCAGTGCATTCCCCACAAATAAATTTGGTGCCAGTTTGTTCTTAATGATAACGGAATGCAACTGGCGACCCACTTCTAGAAATTCGAGGCAAGCACAAGCACTCAAGATGCTGGTGAATGTGAATTCATCAGGGTGAAATCCATAGCTGTTCATGTTAAAGAACAATTCCAAAACTTCATAAGCATAGCCATTTTGGGCATAACCTCCAAGCATTGCGTTCCACAAGACGAGATTTTGCACTTCTAGATCATCAAAAACTTTCCTAGCTGCTGCTGGTTTCGCACACTTGCCATACATGCTAATCAGAGAACTTCCAACATAGACATTAGTGTACAGTCCTTGTTTGATTGCCTCCCCATGAACTAGCAAGCCAAAATCAACAGCAGCCAAGTTCCCGATTGCACTCAATATGCTTCCCAATGTGGACCTAGTGGATTTGACACCAGAACTTCTCATGTTTCTGAAAAAGTCAACAGCTTCAACTTCATAGCCTCGCTTAGCATGCCCTGACATAATCACATTCCAGGCTACAACATTTGGGTTAGACAGCTGGAAGAACAACTTAGAAGCATCCTCAAGCTTTCCTAAACTGAGATAGGCATTCATGACAGTGATGAGTGCCACTTGGTCAGGTTCCATCACACTTCTTTGCATCTCTTCAAAGACTTTTGTTGCCTCTCCAGGTAAACCAGATTGCACGTAGCCAGCTATCAACGATGTCCAAGACACGGTATCCTTACCCAGTGCTGCGTCAAACACTCTTCGAGCTTCAGCCATTTGATTACTCTTTGCATACATGTCGATAAGAGCACCCTGGGAGAAGCAGTTCGATTCCATTCCCATCTTCAACAGATTGCTGTGAACTTGTCTGCCACAATCCACATTGGCCAGTCTCGCACAAGCAGACAATGCAATAGCAAAAGTGAACTCATTGGGACGAACCCCTTCGTTCCACAACAACCCAAAACATCTCACGACCGAGAACGAAGCGGCCTTCTTCGAATACAGCAATAAAATAGAGTTCCAGGCCGAGACATCCCTACTCTCAAGCCAGTCAAATGCCTTCTCCGCGGAGTCCACATCGCCGCACTTGGTATAAAGATCGAGGATGGCGTTTCCTAGACGCCCTTCTGACGATACCCCAAGCTTGATACCGTAGCCGTGGACGATTTTCCCGGCTGTCGAAATCGGGGAGACTCTGTGAGGCGTTTCGTCGAACTGGTGGTGGGCTTTGGCTTGCCTGCATCGCTGCAGGCAGGTTTCCAAGAGCTGGTCGTACGAGTAGAAATTGGGGGTGGAAAGCGGTTGGGTTGGAGGGCGGGGAAGAGCCGAGAAGGCGAGCTGATTGGAGAAGTTGCGTGCTTGCAAGGCAGGCGAGGTACTGCAGAGACACCGGCGACTGCGATGCATTCACTCGTCGATGAGCACGACTCCGGCATGGCAGGGTTTCAGGGAGGAAGAACGGATGGGCCCGTGAATTGCGATTGTTTAAGGACTTGATACGGATTTCCTTGGGCCGAGGTTCTCTGGATCGGTTATATGAAGGCCCCATTAGCGTTTCAACAACCATTGAAAGAAGAAAACCCACTAAGGGCCGATCACTGTGCACGCAGACACATTGTACTGCACACACAGACTCAGTGGTACTGTTACAACTTGGATTGAGTTCCAGTGTGGGAAGCTGTAGGTGGACACTCTTCAGATCTCGATGGGAATTTCCGGGTTCCCTTGCATTTGGACTTTAGTTGCCCTTCTGGTTGGGGGGCTCGAGGTTACCCTCACGCGCGTTGATCGCACGCAGATTCTGTATCCCTCAAGTTCTTAGTTAGAGGGCCTTCAGGCACGCACCTGTCGGTACGTTGGGATGGGTGTCACTCTTTTCCCACCGTCAAAACCTATCAGTTGGTGGAGTACCCAATTTCACCTGTCAGATGCCTGTCACTTTCCCACTCAACTACTTGCCCAAAAAAAGTGGTTGCCTTTGCTTCACCTCTTCCTCTCTCACGCCTGATGCAGGTGATCGACGGCTTCTTTTCACTCGGCGTGGTTCCCAATTATAACTCTCAATCATCTGCCAGCTTCCCACTGAGTTTGCTTTACCGAGATAGACGACTGCTGAACCACTACTTTATCTAATCAGTCCTTTGTTTTGTGCCTCTTGGTGTATCTCTACATTCTCTACAGCGGTTCCTTTCTTCCTTGGACCTATATTGTTCATCTTCTCCGTTGTTTTCCCTCTTCCTCTCTTGCTCGACCCTGCCGATTTCTTGCTTTGCCTTTTCGTATTCTCGTGGGATGGATGCAACGTTGTTGTGCAATCTGAAAGGCGGCAGCAGAGATGTCGCTCTTCGTCTGCGGCTGCTGCACACGTGGTTAGCCAAGCCTCCGAACAGTCCTACCGCATATTATCACTGCTGCCTTTGGGCTGATCAAACGGTAGGTTTGACCTTACTATTCTGTTGGTTGTTGTTCTGGTTTGGAGATTTTTATGGGTTTTACGACTCTTGCCTGCTTTTATTTTGTGGGTCATTGACTCATTGTTATTGACTTTGAGGAGTTTAAAGAGTCCCACGTGTGGATCTGAGTTTCTCATATGGTCTTTTGTCTTGCCTGGTTTTAGATTTTGGGTTTCTGTTTCTCTAGCTAATGTTTATTTCATGACTATTTCTCTTTGTTTGTTGCCACGTTTGTGTGTTCCCTTTCTTTGTTTGTGTGTTCCCTTTCTTTGGGTTGATACGTTTTTCATTAATTTTTTTGTGCAGGGTATGTTGATCCAGGCTATTGCTGATACTGCAATGGCAGCGGATATCGATCGGGCACTTCATGTTGGGACTATCTATATAATCAAAGGATTCGGTCTTAGTATAGCTAGAGCTCTCTATCGAGCCTGTTCCTTCGACCTAACGATGCAAATAACAAGGACCACAACGTTTCAGGAGTGCACTCTGCCAGCATTCGACTTCCCTTCTGACTCTTTTGAGATCCTGTCATTTAATCAGTTGCCAAGCCGTAGTGGATACCACCGCATTCTCACAGGTTTTGCTTGCATAATTGCTGCATTTTGCATTAATACTGTTGGTTTGTGTGTTGTACATAACCATTTCATTCTTCTGCTTTATTTTTAGATATCGTTGGTCGTCTTCACTCCATTAGTGGGGTTGATTATCAGCTTACTAACACCGGATCTACACCCAAGCAGGTTTTGGTGCTTCAAAATGACATGTATGTGCCTTTGCTTATATGGTGTTGTGGTCCTCATTTTTTGTTTTACTTCTTCTATCAACCATGATTTTCTTATTGATCGGTTCTTCTTTTCTCAGGGGACAACGGGTGTCTGTTACCCTTTGGAATAATCTTGTTGGGACACTGGAACGCGATGCTTTGATCCTGGCAGACGCCACTGAGCCAGTCATAATTGGTGTCGGGGGTCTCATAGTTGGACGCCAGATAGGTGTTGTTTTATCCATCTCGCATTGTACGCACATCATGCCCTTTTGTTTCTGTTTTGATTGTGTCAATCTATGCTGATCCCCCCCCCCCCAGGAAATGACTATACCTGTTCAAGTTCGTCTGCCACACGCATAGCAATCAACCCGGCCATCCTAGAGGCTCGCCATCTCTCCACTTAGTCAGTGTTGTGTGCATTCAAGATCTTTATTTAGTCCACTCATGTTCGTTTTTGTCTGACCATGTGTTCCTTGTGTTTATGTAAGCTTCGCTGGTCCAAGGAGCCCTGTCGCAGAGCTACCAATTCAGTTTGTTACACCGGAAGAGGCTGTTGTTGATGCTGAAAACAGGACAAGAACAGTTGCTGAGTTGCTGGACCTTCACTACAAGGGCGCTTCTCTGGTTGTGCAGCTTCTGTTTGGTTATATATATACACACGTATATATTTAGTATTTGTTGTCGCCCTGTTCTTCTTCTGACTGTTGTTCTGCTTTGTTCTTATTTTTCCTGGATTTGGAGTTTCCACAGGATGCAAAGCACTTCTGTAGCGGAGTAATAAAATCTGTCGAGTCTCACAGCCCATGGTACTACACATCCTGCAACATGTGTAGAAAGAGTTGTTCGCCGAGGGAAAATAGCTATTGGTGTCCAAGACATTGGGAAATATCTGAGAATCAGGTTACAATCGGGTATGTTTTTTGCTTTGTTTTTTGCCCCTATGTTGTTGATTTTGTACTGTTTACTGATTTTTCTTGATTGTTTATCTAGTTCATCTGTTGTTATTCACTTTGTTTTCTTTTATTCTTATTACTATCTTCGTAGGTATAAGATTCAGCTTACTTTGAAGGATCAATCGGCTGAGGCTCCTTTCATAGTGTTTGGTCCGTGTGCCAACAATTTGGTTTTCACTTCAGCTCCACTCCTGGCCCAGAGGTACCCTCATAGGTCCGGTCATCTTCCACCAGAGATAAGCGCTCTTCATGGCCAGAATGTCAAGTTCGAGGCTAAGTTGCCAATGCTCGAATCTAATGGAAAGTCAACCGGGGAGTTTAGGGTTCTACGTGTCATTCCTCAGCAGACTCATCAGATTCAGACTCCTGTTCCCCTTTCAATCCAAAACACTGTCGCTACCTCCCAAGTTTCCATGCCTTCACAGAACAATGACTATCGAGATGGTGCACTGGTGGCATCCACAATGCCGAAGTTATCGGGATCTTCGCCATCAAGGTTTGTTTTTTCTCACTGCATATGGCCTTCTATTTTGGTGTGTTTGGTTCCTGGGTTTATCTTTATGAATATGGTCTTCTATGCTAGCTCTTCGAAGGGAAAGGAAAAGGTTTCGGGTCCGCTGTTGATTGAGAATTGCAAATCTGCTTTCCAAATTGGGCAGTTTGTGGAGAACCAACTCAGGTTATGTGTTGCCATATATGATTTATGTTAGATGTGGTAGTTATAGTTATCTGTGTATTTCATCATTCTTATGTTTCGAATGTAGCATGACAATTCTTATTGTCCTTGCAGCCAAACTCATGGGCCACTTTCCATTAATGAAAGGGTTGCAAGTCCTCAGAGCCAACTTGTGCCTGCAGTTAGTTCTGGAGGGCCGTTGGCTGTATCATCGAATGTTGTCTTTGCTCCCAAACAGACTTCTGAACCGGCTGCCTTTGATCATGGGAAGCCAATTGCTGCTGATATTGCAGGTCCACTACAGACCATCACTGATAAGCATGTTGCCACACTGAAAAATCCAGCAACACCCTCCCTGCCACCGGAGAAGGCAATTTCAGTATCGATGAGTTCTCCTGGACAGGTTTCGTCAACTTCCTCATGCTCTGTTGTGCCAAGTTCTGAAACTCCTCAAAGTAGGATTGGTGCATCTCCATTATCAACTCTGCCCATTTCATCGTCAACCCTACCTTTTTCATCGCCATCGGCATTTCTGTGAGATCTTTTACATGACTTGATGCATGTCTACTATTTGATGTTAGATTCATTAATGATAAATAACTCTGTCATTTTTTGGTATACAATACATCAGCCTAGTCTCTCCGTTGGCAAAGGTGAAGGTGGAAAAATTGGATGCTTCTGAACTGAAAAAAAATGATCTTGATGCACAAGGATCTACTCCGTTTTCCATTGGAGAAGAGGGAGGCAAGCGTTCTTCTGTGAAGCGCCGCCTGTATGAAATTTGAGGTACAACATTCTCAACTAGAGAATGTCATTTGTTGCCACGAAAAAAAATGGGATGCTGCTAATTTCTTCACTGGTTAGGAATATACGTTTTATAGCTCGATATGCTCACTTATTTCCCCCTAATTTTTCAGGTGTGGTGCTGTCTGCCAGACCTGTGGATTGTTGTTCAGCAACAAGTTCTGTTTTATGTGGTGAACTGTGTTAGTTATTGGTGTCACTTTTCTGGATGTTGTTTCTTCTCAGTTAATCCACCTGGGAGGCTTTTGGTAAAGACAATTACGGTTGCTTTTGGGATACGCTATATAAGGGCCTTTTCGATCCCAACTAGGCTGTGTTTTTTAGCAAGTACGATTTGTTGTGTGTAATAGTTTATTTATAGATAAACGGCATGTAGAGTTACTGTGTCATGTCATGTGTGCCCTTTTGGGAAACATGTAACATATGTTGTATATGTAAGTTTCTTTTGTGAAATTATTTTTATGGTGTCGTTCCTTATGCACATATAACTGGACCAGAAAATCGGAATAGCTATGACTACTTATTGCATTTGTGTTACAGCAGATATAGGAACTTCTAGACCTCGATAAGCTTAATTGGTTGCTCTATCGCAGCATGCCATGCATGTTTCTTCTCATTGTGTTCTTGTGTTAGACCCATTGATAGGTATCACCCTAATTTTCCAATTCAGACAGATTATGTATTTCAACTATGAGGGAACATACAAAAAACGGTTAGATTCTGTTCCTGTTGTTATTCACCTGAGGATATGTGAATTGGTATATCAATATGACTGTGGGAACTATGAATTTACAAAACAATTATGTACTCCGATCAATATATATACAGATATATAAATTCATGGTTAGACATAAGTTTCACCTTCTGATTATTGATATCGATCACATTCTTATCACCAGAAAGGAAGATAATCTATGTTGGACAAAAAATAGGCATGTAGATTTTTCATTGTTTAAGCATGATATATATTAGAAAATTCTGTCCTCTCCAGAAGTTATCATTGCTTGCTGTCAGATGTAGTCCTCTACACAAAGGGATTTATGTGGAGGGCCTTGATTTAGTAATTAATGTTGCAGTCAAATCAAGTCTTAGCTTTATTCCTACCTAACAAATAGCATCTTCTTCATTAAGTTCATTTTACTGTTACTGAGAGGCATTCACATAGCAAGTTCTCTACCAAAGAAAGCCATTAATGCAAGATATGCAGCAAAACTGACACAGCTTCCATTATTCTGAAAAAGGAATTCCATACACAGCTAACTTTTCACCTCATTGATTATGAGACCAGGTTAGTTAATGGATATAAATATGAGCCATTACATCTTTTACATTCTTTCATAAGACTTGAGTTCAGTGATCAGACCCTTTCCTTCATTGGTGCTTTCTCATTTATGTGCATTGATTCCTCTGTTGTGATCTGTGTATGCATTGATGTATTTTCAGCTCAATACATACCTATGATTCTTAAGTCTAAGGATAGTGTTCTTACAAGCCTTGATTAATTTACCATACTCTTCTCTCCCAGTTGCTCTTGACTTTAGAGACGTTGTTGTGTAGTTATCTTTACCAGGACATTATATGGATGCTGCCATTGCTTGGCCAATTTTATTTCTCTTCTTAATTTCAAGTTGTTGTTACTATACTGACTTCTTGAATTACGACTATGTAGGATGCCTCCAAGGAAAAAACCAACGACTTCTAAACCGCTGAAGAGAAAGAGAGGTATAGGTTCAGCTGCCACTGATTCCTTTGTTGATATGATATCTTCATTCTCTACCATTAAGCCTGAAAATGTTAGGATCGACAGAAGATCACGGAGACTCCCACTTATTCTCCATGATAACAACAAGAATTCCTCAGAGGATCACGGAGACTCCCACTTTGCGGATCCATATCGTTTAAGTACTGCTGCTTCATCTTCTAAGAATGTTGGTCAGCATGTTACAGAAGCAGAGGCGCCTGTTCGTTCTTCCAGAAAAGTTCCAGCAGCAAGGACACCATTGTACAATGATATATTAAATGTGGGAAAGCCAGAGTGTGTGTGCAAGCATTGCAGAGCTATGTTCTGGTATGAAGAGCGCTTAGAACGCCATAGAAAGACAACAGCTCCTGTATATGGTTTGTGCTGTCAGAAAGGAAGAATTAATCTGCCTCTTCTAAGACAGGCACCACCACTTCTTGCTCAGTTACTTGATCATAACGGTGGAGCATTATCGAAGCATTTTAGAGAAAACATCCGACCATACAATGGAGCATTGTGCTTTACATCTTTTGGAGCAAAGCTGGATCCTCGCTCATTGACAAGTAGAGGACCATATTCAATGGTCATTTGTGGAGAAAACTACCATAGAATTGGATCCCTACTGCCGATAGATGGTGAGCGACCCAAATTTGCTCAACTATACATATTCGAGCCTGACAGTGAAATTGACAACAGGTTAGCAAACTTTGCCTCTCGGGAATCTGTCCTATTACCTGAATTACTTGCATCATTGCTTAGGATGCTCGATGAGACAAATCAGTTGGTAAAGACTTTCAGGCGCATCAGGCAAGAGCTACAACAATCATCGACAAGAAATCTTCGACTTCGAATTTTTGGCATGGCAAGTAGGAATCGACAGTACGATCTCCCAACAAGTAACGATGTTGCTGCTTTGATTCCGGGAGACTTTATTGCTGATAGAAATGATAGGGATATAATTGTTGATCATCAGAGCGAGGGGTTGAAGCGCATCTCGAGCCTAAACCCGAAGTTCGAAGCTCTGCATTTTCCGTTGTTGTTCCCATATGGGGAGGATGGGTACCACCCATTGATACCATATAACAGTACTTGCTGTCCACCTTCAATGCGACGAAAATTCGTCACGCAAAGAGAGTACTATTCCTATAGGCTTCAATATCGCTCTAACGAGGGACACACATTGGTAAAAGGTGGCAAAGCGCTACAACATTATTGTGTTGATGCATTTTCAACAATTGAACTTAACCGGTTGGCTTTCTTAAGAACTCACCAACAACAGTTGAGATCTGAGGTTTATCAAGGTCTGCAGGATGCAGCTGCCAGGGGAGATATAGATGGTGATAAGATTGGCCATGTTATTATACCTTCTTCTTACACAGGAGGCCCTAGATACATGCAGCAGTTATATCACGATGCAATGGCAACGTGTCAATTCTATGGAAATCCAGATCTATTTGTTACCTTCACATGCAACTCTTTGTGGGAGGAGATAAATGAAGCATTTGAAAGCATTGTGGGACCAAACAGTGAGTACAAACCTATGGTTGTGTGTCGAGTATTCCATATGAAGCTTGCCATTCTCATCGAACAGATAAAGCAAGAATCTTATTTCGGGAAAACAATAGCAAGTATGTTCTGCAACTATTTATCTATTTCATGTTTTGATTCTGTGTTTGGAAGGAAAAGGCTTATTCATGTTAGTTCATGATTATTATTTATTATGCTGCTAACCACTAATCAACTACAATGCTTCTTTCCAACAGTCATGTACACCGTGGAGTTCCAAAAGAGAGGCCTTCCACACATACATATGCTCATATGGCTTGCAGAAGAGGATAAGCTAAAAACCACCGCTGATATTGATGAAACAATTTCAGCAGAAATTCCAGATCCTAATATAGATCCAGTGGGGTATGAAGCAGTTGTGAAGTTCATGCTTCACGGACCATGTGGGGAAGCTAACCCGAATGCCCCTTGCATGAAGGATGGGAAGTGTTCAAAGTTTTTTCCCAAGGAGTTCAACTCGGAAACAACTTTTGACAAGTTTGGAAATGCAATTTATCGACGTCGAGATTCAGGAATTCAAGTGCAAAAAGGCAAGTCTGTTCTAAATAACAGGCATGTGGTTCCTTACAACAGAAATTTACTGGTTAGAGCCCAGGCACATATAAATGTTGAAATATGCCACAAGGGAGGATTGGTTAAGTATTTGTTTAAATACATAACCAAAGGACCAGACAGATCTTTGGTTATTGCGGAGGATTCAACATCTGCAGCACAGGTTCCATGCACAGGTTCAAAGAAGCAAAAAGACGAAATACAGGAGTTTATAGATTGCAGGTCGTTATCTTCATACGAGGCTGTGTGGAGGATTAACGAGTTTGCGATTCATCACAGAGAGCCAGCAGTGGTACGACTGCCAGTTCATCTACCGGGACAGCATAAGGTCCCATACAAAAAACAATCGAATGTCCAGGATGTACTGAAAAATCCAAAAGCTGGGAAGACACATCTCACATCTTGGTTCTTCCTCAACAGAGTGGATCCCCAGGCAAGAAAGCTTACTTATGCTCAAATCCCAAATGCATATACATGGCACGAAGACATCAACGAATGGACTCCAAGAAAAAGAGGATTTGCAATTGGGAGAATAGCATATGTTCCTCCCGGCAGCAATGATGTATTCTTCCTAAGATTGATACTAACAAAGGTACGCGGTGCTATGAGTTATTTGGATTTAAGAACTGTCCGTGGAGAAGTTTGTCCCAATTATGAGAAGGCTTGTGAAAAATTGGGTCTTTTATCTGATTCTTCAGAATGGATTAGGGTGTTGCAAGAAATCTCAGCATCGAGCATGCCGGGTTTAATAAGAAGCACTTTCGTATCAATGCTAATGTTTTGTGAGATACCAAATCCTCTTGCCCTGTTTGAAGCATCTTGGAAATTAATGAGTGAGGATCATGTGTACTCACTGCGCAAACAACTTCATTCAACCACCTTTGAGCCTTCATAAGAAAGACTGCGTAATTGGGTGTTAAACCAGCTCCAAAGCTTGCTTGGATCATACTCTTCGTCTCTTGAACATTTTAACCTCCCAATGCCAACAGACTCAGCAGCAGATGATGGCTCAAACCCTCTGATCAATGAGCATCTCCATTTCAATGTGGATGAGCAAGCAGACCTATCAGATACTATGCTGCAGTCACTTAATTCAGAACAGTTTAAAGCTTTCTCAGCAGTAATATTGTCTGTTAATAATCGTTTGGGGAAGGCATTCTTCTTATATGGACATGGGGGCACAGGCAAGACCTTTTTATATAATGCAATCATTGCAAAGTTGAAAAGTCAGTCAAAGATCACTATAGTTGTAGCATCATCTGGAATTGCAGCAACACTTTTGCCAAATGGTACAACAGCGCATTCGAGATTCAAGATACCTCTACATGTCGATGCTTCTTCAACTTGCACGGTCAAGAAAGGAACACACCTAGCTGAACTAATACAACAAGCATCATTGATTGTTTGGGACGAAGCGCCAATGACACATCGACATGCATTTGAGGCCATTAGCAGAACATTTTGTGATTTAATGGGTATTCCCATAGCAGGGCCAGGTCATAAGTTGTTTGGGGGGAAAACAGTGCTCTTTGGAGGAGACTTTAGACAAACGCTGCCAGTGATTACAGATTCTGGACGTGAACAGACAACTGATGCCTCCCTCACAAGGGCACCCTTTTGGCCTTCTTTTACCATACTTAGGCTGTCCAAGAATATGAGGTTGAATGAATCCGCTGCAAATAGAGCCATGATTAGCAGTAGTTACACATTTGGTGATTGGGTCCTTGCTCTTGGAGATGGGAAACTTCCAACAACATCATTCAAGCCAAACACTCCCTCAGACTGGATTCAAATACCAGTAATGTTTTTAGTTGCTGCTGCACATGAACCAGTTCAGTCTATCACAGCTGATATATATGACTCATTTGCAGCACAATATAAAAACACAAAGTACTTGACAAGCAGAGCAATAGTGACACCCACGAACGCCAAGGTTAATGAAATAAATGATTTTATGCTTCAGCAACTACCTGGACTGAGTCGCTCATATTACAGTTCGGATTCTATGCAAGTGGATACAGATGTGCCGGAATCATTTAGCGAAACCTACCCAACTGAATTCCTTAACACACTTGCATTCAATGGTGTACCAGATCATGAAATCAGACTGAAGATGCGTGCTCCAGTGATGCTGCTCAGGAATTTAAGTCTTTCAAAAGGTTTGTGCAATGGAACAAGAATAATGATCACATTCTTGGGTGAAGACATCATCAAAGGAACCATTATGGGCGGGACCTATGACACAAAATTGGTGGTGATACCAAGAATAGTTCTTAACGTAGAGGATAAAAAATGGCCGTTCATTCTCAAGAGACGACAGTTTCCTGTTCGTCTTTGTTATGGTATGACCATAAACAAAAGTCAAGGTCAAACACTTGACAAGGTTGGGGTATATCTGCCAGACCCCGTATTCAGTCATGGACAATTGTACGTGGCTGTTTCAAGGGTTAAATCAGCAAGCGGTTTGCGAATTCTGATCACCAATACCGATGATATTCCAAATGACTACACAAGAAATATTGTGTACACGGAGGCTTTTGAAGATATCAACTCAGAATAGCACATGCCTAACCAGATTCTATAGGTATAACATAAATCTAATAAGAATTCAAGGCATTGCACAACATTTCACATTTATGTTGGCCAATGCAGTTTATTCCTAATTCAGTTTTCTTCTGTGTTTCCTTTTAGGTATGGGAGCATATTTTCCACTAACAATCAATCCTCTGTTGTGCTCACCATGTGTGTATCCTTTTCTGAGACCTGAAACCCCAAAATATAGAATCAAAGTATGTCAGGTTTAAAATTCTGGAAATTTATGCTTCTGTTCTTCCTGTTCTTTCCATGTTCTTCGTCCGAAATTACCCAAGTGTTAGCCTGATCCATCATAATGATAAAAAGGCACTAAGAGTTGTTTGTCGGTGAAACGACACGGTACATGTCGTTTGTTTAAATGAAGGCTGCAGACTGCAGTCTTGGAATCGGCCACCAAAAAAGGAGCCCAAATAAATGTTGGGCCCATAAATTAATCTATCCATTCTTCATCCTTTTCCAAAACAAATTAATAAAGAATCAGCACAATTGAATTCACGGACATACATTCATATATCACACTTGCCAATTGCCATTACCAATTTTAATCGGTGCTAATCTATAATCCCAACAAAACAAAACCAGCCTCATAATTTTCATTAACATAGATCCGGAGAAACAATGCAATTTCATACGTTTATCTCAAGTCCCAACACAATAAAATTTCAGTCCCAGCGCAGAGCGCGGGCAATGAAGACTAGTAGACAAATAAAAGTGTTACTAACGAAAAAAGAAAGGGAAAAAAATTCCGCTGGCGAGATGAATAATTTGCAATGCTACAGCGGATTGGTGACACTGATCCGCATTTTACTAATTTATATGATTCGATGTCGCAATTTGAGTATATAATTTTAGCATGTTGACTCCATTTGTAGGTAGTTGGGTTGTATATTAATTTTCCTCTAGTTTATTTACTCTAGGGACTACAATGGGTTTGGGTGAGGTTTTTATATATCATTCCCAATCAACGGTTTTAAAATCGTAACCATCCTCGTAAGCAAAAGTAGGCGGGAATGACATACCAAAATCTACTCCTTTGAGAAAATCAATATGCACCATCCCCAGATAATCATATATATATTTATCCATACAATTTCATTTTGTTTTCTTAGAATGTCAATATCACTTTTAACTTTTGTTAAGATATTATTCATAGAAGTTAGGAAAAGGAGCAATATTTGGATTTAAGAAATATTTATAATACTTG